TAATGTTGGATCCTCTTGGTGTTAGGCTTAGGCCATAGGGCAAAGAGGAATAAGCCAAATGACTCGTTTGCTCTCAGGGAGCGCAGGCTGGTGGGGGAGATGGTGCTTCCCCTGAGTGTCATGGGAACAGAGGAGCAGGAACACCTAAACCTGGATAGTGGCAGAAAAGAGCTCGCAAAGGAGGTCACATCTGAGAGTCTCACCAGGTGTCAGAACACTTCTTGCTCAAGCAGATGAGGAAGAAGAATGTTACCAGCAGCAGTAGCAGTTTGTACAAAAGCAGTCTCACACTTGGCTGCAAGGGAGCATTAGGTTTCAGGTACTGAAGATGCTAAGCACCTGGACTGCATCCTTTGGGTGTGGTGGAGCAGTGAGGCAGGATTCTAGACAGAGAAAGTACATGAACAGATTGACCTGCAAAAGGTCGCTCTTGGAGGATGTGAAAGAGACACTAGAAGAAGCAGCGTCTGGCCAGGTGGTCAGTGGCCCCTCGTGGTTGGAGGGGGTGGTATTTGAAGAGAGGCTTGAATTATGTCCTAGAGGATGTAGGAAAACAGAAACTCAAGATGTGTTAAGGAAGTAGAATGTGTAGAACATAGTGAGGGGGTGGTGTTGGGAGTTGTCATTATGTGAGGGTCTGTTGTACCCAGAGATCAGAACATGATTGTTTGGTTAGACTAAATGAATCTCAGAAGGCTGTTTCTCAGATTGGGATCCCAGTATCTCCTTGAAGCTCTTCTGCTCATTTTTGGGTTGACTTACACTACCTAGACGTATTTTAAATTCTAAACAAAGTATGGTTGCAGCACTACTCACATTGACCTGCAAGCCCAGCAAATGATTCTTTTTTTAAAAAACTCTCTTCCCATTTGCCACCCACCACCCCTGATATCCTTTTCCAGACCATGTTCTGCCCAGTCTCTCCCCAGCTAGTCATGAAATTGGTTGACTCTCATCTCTCACTTCTGCCTCTTACAGCTTTCTTGCCTTCTGATGAAATAAAATAATTAGCCTCCTAGTTGATGAATCATTTTATGAATCCTTGTGTCAGAAATTTAGCAAGAGAACATCCTCTGCTATTTGAGATAACCTACAGGTCCACACATTACCAGATCCTCTATATACCAGAGACTGTATATTGAGTGTTTTAGAAAGCTAAGAAAAAAAACAAAACCCCACAGTGCCTGCCCTCTGGGAACTCAGCAGCTGGAAAGACCTATGTAGAGAGAATCTGATAGAAATAAAACATTAGAGGCAACATCTGCCTTAAATTGTCTGCATCAGGATTTGGTTTGAGGTACTGCTGTGGAGTTATGGCCAGGTTAATAGTCTTGAGAACTAAAACTATCACACTTTATTCTTTGAAGATTCAAGATAGGAGGTTATGGTTGAGAGCCTGGGTTCTGGGGTCTGACTTCCTTGCTCTGCTACTTAATGTCTGTGTGACTGGCCAAATTAGTTCATCTGTGAGCTTCCCTTCATCACTCTAAGATGAAGATCACAATAGTCTCTGTGCTAAGATTGCTAAGAGGACATTTACAAGACACACATCTCAGACCGCCTCATACAACACCAGTGCACAATAAATACCTGTTGTTGATCATGCCTGAGGCCAAAAGGAAGTGTCCCCAGGCCCAATTGAGAAAGATGAGCTGAGTCAGTGCTGAGGACTGTTGGTTTCCTTCCACTTGAGAGCTGTTATGGCTAATACTGTGATCCTCCATCGTCCTTTAGAGTAATTATAAAGAAAAGTATGGAACAAGCTTTCTTCAGGACAAGTTATTCTTTTGAGTTTCTAGTTAGCCCTTTGGTCACCTCACACATGGTCCGTTATCACCTAGAGCACTTCCAGAAACAAGTTTAAAGGCTGGCAGGTGGCAGGTAGGTCTGCAGGGGAGATTGGGCATCGCTGGCTCTCTGAAATCTCCCCCAGCCCAGTACCCATCGCATTCCTTCCCCTGTGAGATCTCCCATGAGTTGAACACCACTCTTTTTCCCCATTTGTATTGGGATGAACAGACAGTTCTTATCCTCGTGAGACTTATAATTGTGTGGAAATATCTGAACAGATTTAGTCCACTGTGAACAGTGCAGATGGAATTGTACGGACAGAAAAGGTACCTGGGAAGCATAGTAATGATGGCTTCGCAGAGGTGGGGACATCTCAGTAAGATTTTGAAGGGAACAAGGACACGGAGAGTCAAGAGGTCTGTGTGTTTGTGTGGGAGAACTGGACCTTTGGGGTGTGGGCGAGGAGCCCAGGAGGAGATGACATTTAAAACAGAGGACAGAGTTAGACCATCCAAGAGCTCGACTGTATCATGGGGCCACTGGGGGCCACTGAGCGACTTCCGGCAATAAAATACCTACCACAAGGTACGTTTTTAGCAAGATCACTCTGGTGGAAGATGAGCTTGAAAAGGGTGTTGGAAAGGCAGCAGGTTCATATCACCACTGCAGATTCATTGAGGGCAGGGACAGAATCCAATTTATCTCTGGATCCCTAATGTTTAGTACATTGTAGACACTCAAGAAATGCTTTAGACAGATCCAGTTGAATTTTCCAGCTCGGCATCCTATCCTCAGAACATGCTGACCTGGACCTCCATCTGTCACAGGCAGCTTGACTAAGATCATAATAAATTCTTGTTTCTTGGCATTCTTTTAACTGGCACTCTGTTTACTAGCCCCTCTGTGCACCTGCAGCGTGGCAATGATTGATGCTTATAATTCTGACCCTGAAGTACTTCAAGCCTTCTAAATCATCAAAAAAAGATTAAAGTATATTCAGTATTGCTTGAATGTTTGTGTGTTTTACTGCTTTCTTTTTCTTTGGAAATTGATGGTTTATCAAGTGCTGGGCACTTGCATGTACTTGGGCACAGTGAGAGTCTGTGATCACGTACGACTCGCAACTCCCTCCTGGTGCCAGGCATGGGCAGTTTGTTTTGCGTGCTCAAAAACAGACAGAGTGACCTGGGCTCTCTTCATGCTTGGAAGGAGGACACAGCGAAGCCCCAAAGGGACAAATTGAGAGAGTGGCGGTCAGAAAAGCTCTGGGAGTGAGAAAGCCAGTGTGGTGCAGGCAGGGAGTCCCAGAGTCACAAGCGCTGCAAAGCTCAGAGCCAAGACTTCAGCTTCAGGATCGTGGACCCCAGGCACCAGGCTGGGGTTGGACAGGATTCTCCACAGCTCTGTTTGTTTTGCAATGACAACCACTTGGTGAAACAGCAAACATTAGTAAGTGAAAACATCAATAATGAGAGCACCCTGCTCCCCAGCACACCTCTCCTTGAAAACCTTGATTACTGCAGAACTGACAACATTATTAGGCCCAGGAGGAAGAACTTGGAATAGAAGCTGTGTGAGAGGGCTCCCTCCATTTGTAACCTGGGTTCCTACAAGGAGGGGTGTGATGTCATAGTGGGGAGGTTTGTGTGGGTTTCCTTTGGGGGGGTGTATATTGCAGCAAGTAGAGGCTTCTCTTAGTTTGTCATGCAACTAAGTGTGTGTCATCAGGGCTGGGGTTGTGACTGAGTAGTAGAGCACTTGGCTAGCATGTGTGAGGCCCTGGGTTCGATCCTCAGCACCACATAAAACTAAATAAATAAAATAAAGGTATTATGTACATCTGTAACTAAAAAAATTTTTTTAAAGATTTTTAAAAAATCTGCATATGATCAGTCAGCAGTCATCATCTCAGCACAGAGAGCCAGTCCCCAGACCTCAGGGATTCTGCTTGTCACCTAGGCAAGGGCACATGTGGGCTTGAGCTTGCCAACTAGGCAAGTCTTGTAGTCTCTCTAGGTCTTTATTTTCTTTGTCTGAAAAATTGGAATATTGGGATAATACTAACTCCTTTACAGGTTAGAATAAAATAAAATAATGGCTATGAAAATTGCTTCACTGGAAAGCCTTATCTATTTAAGTAATACATATAATTACTATTGTATGATATATTTCTATTATATGCATTACAGTATTACATATAAGTGTTCAATTTACTAAAGAACACCATAAATACTGTAATAAAACATAGAAATATATTTCATTGCAAGCACAACATCTTCACAAATTTTCCCAAAGTAGAATGGGGAAATGAACAATTTATTGAGTCTCCATGACAGATTAGCTGTTCTAGCTAGTATACTATCTACTCCTCAAGGTAGATATCAAATCCCTGATTCAGAGATGAGGAAACTGAGGTTCCTAATAACGTGGATATCCAGAGCAGAAGTGGGCTGAGTACCTGATTGCTGATGGGCTCTTTCTCCTCTACCATGTTCTCCCATCGTTTACCTACTTCCAGACCCCAAAGTTCCTAAAGCTGTTCATGTCCTTTGGGGCTGGGATGTTTGCTACCTGTTTCTGGGTCCTTCACTCCTGAAAGAGGTTCAGGGTGGGTTCACAGGGAACTTCCATGGGCCCCTGCAAAGCCGAGCAGCATGGGGGAGTCAACCATGTGGTACACTCCAGTCAGAGCCCGTGGGGAGCTGGCCAGGCCTGCATTGAAGGTTGGGAGGCCACTGTGCCCCTTTCCCAGCGCTGGAGGAAATGTAGTTCTCAGAAGTTCATTCTTTCTCTGTGGGTAAATAAACACCCGTCAGACTCCTGGGTCCCACCTGGGCCTTTCCAGTTCAGATCTCACCCAGGTGGTTTGCTGTCTGATAGGCTCCATGTTCTGTTTGCAGAAGTGGGTGGGTTAGTCACAAAGCAATCCACTCTACTAAGCCTCTCTGGGACTCTTCTATTAACTTTAACAACAGGAATTGGGGCAAAGGGTCCCCAGTGGGCCCACACTGTGTGCATTTTCTTTTTTGGACCATTTTCCTGGTTTGCAGACAGACAGCTTGTGAACCGGAGCTGCCCACATAGAGAACCAGAGCTAATGCCCATGGAAGGGCCCAGCTGAAAATTCAGGGAGGATGTCAATGTGAAGGAGAAGCGCTGGTTCAGCTGGCTCTGGTTCTGAAAGGAGCTCCTGTGTGGCTTTTCCGTAGGTTCTCAACAGGAGGTGTGTGGAAGCTGCAGTGATGACAGGCCTGGCTCTGAACTGCCACATAAACAAGAAGTCCTCCTTTGACAGGAAGCACTACTTCTATGCAGACCTCCCAGTAAGTATGCTTTGTGATCCACCCCCTGGAAGTTCTCAGAGCTGGGCCAGCCCTGCCTTCCGGGGTCTGAAGCCAGGGAGAGAAGGCTACCCGCTCATGTTTTCAATCAGCGCCCTGTCCATCCCAGCGGGGAGCTCTGGCTGGCCCTGATGAAGGCAGGTGCCCCCCGATGTTTACTAGATTGGATGCAATTGTCCTGATTGCTGACTCCTTGCTTAGCCTCATGCTTCTGGTGGCTCATTCATAATTGAATGGGGACTAGGAGAAGCCAGTGTTGTCAGGCACAGCCCCACCGTGGTGTTTGGTGCTAATTGCCTGCTAGGACAGAGGCTGACCCTGTGGCAGATGCACTGGTCGGTGCCCACCACAGATCACAGATATTGCGAGAGCGGCTCTCTCTTAAGTTGAAGCTCCCAGTAAGATGGCTATTGGGGACATTTCTTTCATCTCACACGGAGCAAGTAAGTGAACAGTAGTAAGCAGAACCACGAACCAGAAAGCTGCAGGAACAACAGAAATTGGCTGAGCAATAAACTTGGTATTTACCTGCCTTTTCCTTAAAATTAGATTTTTATTTAAGTGTGTCCAGTGTGAGTGAAAGCCACTTTTTCCTAATTCAGAGTTGGAACAAAACTGAAACATGGAGTGGGTTTCCCAAAATAATGTGTCATTTGATCTGAGCCTCCAATAGTAAGTCTAGCTCTCCCCTAGACCACGCAAAACAATAGGGATAAGGTTGCTTCACCTCTTCAGGTCATTCTCCTTGACCTGAAGGTTGGGGTGATTTGTTGTGTAGTGGTCTGAGAGAGGAGGAGAAGTAAATAAAAAATAAAATAGGACCAGAATACTGCAATTGTAGTCACCCGCCTCCCCTGGGCTGCCAACCTTCCAGCCTTCTAGCAAGCTCTGCTCTGGTTTGAATTTCTTCTTTGTGATTGCTGGGGATTGAACCCAGGGTTGTGGAGTAGTAGGCAAGTACCCTACTACTCAGCTACATCTCTAGTCCCCATTTCTTCATCATTCAAGAATGACGGCCACTTTGGTTAAGGTGGGAGCCTGAGCAATATATGATGAAAACGAGAGGTTTTGGTTATCTATGGCCTTCTGTTCTTTCTGGCCCAGGTGGGTCATATAATCACAACTGCTGTTGCCAAATATTGTGTGGGACATATTTATACTAAAAAAGTATTCATTATTTGCCTGAAATTCAAATTGAACAGGGCATCCTATATTTTCTCCAGCTTACCTTCCCCAGAGTTTGGTTTTATAAATTGAGACTTCCTATCTTAGCATAGAAAATGAATTAGCCTCCTGCAGGGTTCTCAATGTGTGGTTCCTGAGCACCAGCATCAGTATCTCTTGGGACCTCGTTAGAAATATAGATTCTTAGGCCCCACCCTAGACCCACTGAATCAGGAACCTTTGCGGTGTCACCAAGCACACTGCTTTGACAAGCCCCTGATATTTCTGATTCATTTAAAGTTTACAAACTGCTGGCTGGCCTAGTGAAGAGGAAGTCAGACTCTGGAGCCAAACCACCAAGTTCACATGTTGACCTTGAGACTTCCTAGATCTGCATGTGGCTTTCGGCAAGGCCCTTAACCCTTCTGTGCCTTGTGCTACTTAGGGATGTCGTAGGATTAAACGAGTGGAACCTACTGAGAACTAAGCGAGGGCTGCAGATGATGTAGCTACGATTCTTTGCTCCGCCTCAGTTCTCTGCGTTGACCTGCGGTCTCTTCAGTGTGTGTTGATGCACGTGGGCATTTGAGAACAATTCTTCCTTTCCACGCAGAAGGAGGTGCCAGAGTCCTTGCACCATCCATCAGTATTTGAGTACTGTGTGCTTTCCATTCGCTGAGCGTGAGCGTCACAGCTCTTTCTGGCTCGGGAGAGGGAAGCTGGGTCAGGGAGGGCAGCTGGCATGATTGGTTAGCTGAAAGAGCAGAACCAAAGCAAGCTTAAACACACTGACCACCGCTGTCATCCCCTTGAGAGTAGAGAGCGAGAACGCACAGCCAGCATTCACTAATAGGGACGGCCTGACAGCGCCTGGTAATGAGATGCAGGGTTTAGGCTAATGAGCTAAATGAAAACAATAAATCCTTTTTAGGGGCCCCAACAATGAAATTATTGTTATTCCCCAAAATGGCTTTCCGTAAGGAAGATGGGTCTGGTGGTGTTAACTGCATCGTTATGGTGTTCTTGTGAGGGGTTTGGGGAGGGGAGGATAGGGAGTGATGGGAAAAGCCAGGCAGGCTAAATTATGGCAGCAGTGCATAAATGATTTTTTTTTCTTCTTTTTGTTGTTTTTCACTTTGGTTTCATATAAGCCTTTAGCTGTGTGACAGTAAAAGGAATAGTCACCTGGATCCCAGCTTTCAGTTCTGGCCTAGTGACTGACATGTGTCTTTGAGTGCAGGCAGGCTACCAAATTACCCAGCAGAGGCTCCCGATCGCTGCGAATGGCAGCCTGGCCTACAGCGTCTGTGTAGGAAAGAAGCGGGGTCAGTTGGTCTCCAAGAGGGTGCGGATCAAGCAGATCCAGCTGGAGCAGGACAGCGGCAAGAGCCTTCACGATGACCTGAGGGCCCAGACGCTCATTGATCTGAACAGGGCAGGTAGGCGCAGTGCTTCAGTCTTTCCTTCCAGCCTCTTGGCTCCTTGGGTGTTAGACACCTTTCTTCCCTTCTGGAGTTTTCCAAAACCAATTGAGAAAGCAGGCAGAGGGGCCTGGCTGATGGAGAGCAACGTGTTCGTGTTGGTGTTACGGCCCCCAAGCTGTGAGCACTTCTGGGCCACCCCAAAAGTCAGACAGACTTCCCCACCCAGTCACGGACCCTGCAGCTGGATGTATGTTAAAAGAAATAAGCCAAAGTTAGAAGTCAGTGTATGTGGGGGAAGGAGAAACAATTTCAAGGCCAGAACCACCTCGAGAGCCCTTTGGTAATGTAGGCTTTCCCGGAGACTTCTGCCTGGTTTGTCTGCTGATGGACTGGCCAACCACAGGAAGGCTGACTCTGCCTCTGTCTGGTAGGAGTCGGCCTTCTGGAAGTGGTCCTGGAGCCCGACCTGTCCTGTGGAGAAGAGGCCGCAGCAGTCGTCAGGGAGCTGCAGCTGATACTTCAAGCCCTGGGGACCAGCCAGGCAAACATGGCAGGTAGGAGCCACAGGGGCACTGTCCCTCTGTCTGTGCCATCTTGCTTTCTGCTTCCTGGGCCTCTTCTGAGTTTTGTTCTTTGCCATCAGTTATAATATAGTTTACATCCCATTTTCAGCCTTTGCCCACTGGCTCCCTACCCCCTCGGATTCTTTTTTGAGCCTCGAATAAAAATAAACACATACAAAGCTCTTGACATATCATATTTCATACATTAGATTGAAGTGGGTTATGAACTCCCAATTTTACCCCAAATGCAGATTGCAGAATCACGTCGGTTGCACATCCACAATTTTACATAATGCCCAATTAGTAATTGTTTGTAATGTTGTGAACAACCAATAAAAAAAATAAAAAATAAAAAAAAATAAAAATAAAAAATAAAAATTAAAAAAAAAATAAACACATACATAAGAGCAGCGCAGTAATGCAAGCCAGTGAACATGAGCACAGGAGAAGGTGTCTTCTCCCAGCTTCTTACATCAAAACCATGAGGACTCATGAAATAATGTGTTTAAACAGTTTCATCTTTCCCAGAATAATTCCTGAGTTCTGTATAGATAGATAGTTGCTACTTTTGTATAGGGGGATCTGTTTCTTTTCCTTTTTTTGTAGAAGTTTCATCCCTGAAACATTAACTACCCTGATTTGTTTATTACACTGTATACATGTGTCAAATTAACACACTACTCCATAAATTTGTACAATTAAAATAATTATTAAAAAAACAATTTCCATCCATGTGCAACCAAAGCCAAATAATATTGGCTGTAAGCCCAGATTATGACTATATAAAGCTTTACCCTGACTTAAGTTTAGTAGAAATAAAGTAGGAAACTCTAGCAACAAAATAAACACCTATACCCTTGGGAAGGAAAGAACCTGTCCCTTTTAAATGTTTGAAAATTGGATATAAATCACAAGTTTGGGGCAAGCTCAGTGTCTTGGTGGCTCAACTCCCTTAGCCCTTGCTCCTTTGCCCTCCCTTAAATTACTGAAAGCTAATCTCTCCCATGGTTTCTTCCCAATTTTCTGTTCCCAGCCTCCAAGCACTCCCTGACCGAATACAGGATCTGAATGCACAGTCGTGGTCTTCTATGGCACACACCACCAGTGATAACGTTCCTCTCTCTGCTGGTCCATAGTACTGTTAACACCCTTATCATGTTTCATGATGTGTTTGCATGTTACAGAAGGCCTTCAGAATTTGTAATGCCGCATTTGTCACATACAAGCAATAGAGGGTACCATCAAAGCTTTGGTACAAGTCAAGTCTGGAGACAGCACTTGATTATTTGCTATCATCTTCAGCCAAAGACTAGAAACACAGAGCCCCATAAATTTGAATTACATAAAGGTTAGCTGTCTACACATTTCCTTTATAGAAATGAGACTGAGAGTTAAAAGAAGTCTCCATTTTCCATTTATCACTCGTGCTACATTTTTACCCACAAAACATATATGAAATATGGGCAGGTTGGATGGTTATCCATTAATGCGCTAAGCATTGATTCTCTATTGCTTTAAGAAAGTTTTTATTATTCCATTCTTCTTCAAAACCACTGTGATTCTTGTGAACCCTGTGGAATAATAAACAGGCCACCTGTTAGCTGAGAAATAGTCCCATCTGGGTCCTTGCCAAGAGATAAACCATATCGGCAAGAACTCGTGAGTCAGTGACAGCTGAGCGTGTTCATTAAATCTCATTTGTTGTGACACTTTTTGTTTCTTTTAAACACAAATCCGGCGGCTTTGCTTCCGGCACAGCAGCCGAGTGGCCTTGGTTGTTCTGAAGGCTGTGGGGAGTCGGGGACTGCCTGCAGTCTGCTGGAGTCCGGCTTCCTGGTAGATTGTGTCAGCCCTGACTCCTCGGCTCATCCTTCTGTCCCACTACCCTAGGACCCCCGTGTCAGCACTGGAGACTGCATCCTGGGTACCTAGGGCCACCCTAAAGAAGAGATGGCAGTGAAGACCAGCGGACACGGTGCTTCTGGAAGGAGGCCTCCGCTGTTCTGGGTTGTGATTGAGTTCCTGATAGTTCTATTAAAGAACATGGACCAGTTCAAGCCATTTCCAAGTCATTTCCTTCTCAGACAGCACGTGTGTAGAAGTAGACCTACTAAGTGTTTCAACAATAGTAGTATCTACCAGTTGGAATATTTAAAATATGCTCACCAGTTCACTAAGAATTTTTAAAAATTGTCATACCATCTCTTGTAAACTTTACAACATTCCTGAGACATTCCTTACCTGTGGTACAGGTCAGCTACAGGGTTAGGTGGGGTTATTTGCCCAGGGTTCACAAGAAGCACCTGAGCTGGGATTTGAGCCCAGGTGACGACTCCAGAAGATCTTTATTTAAGCACCAGGGCAGTGTCGAGACTGCCACAGATACCCACTGGGGGAGTAGCCAGAGGAGCAGATCACGAGGGCTCAGGGCTCTGAGGTCCCAGACCTGGGCCGCAGTCCTGTCCCACAACTTCTCATGGTAGAAACCTGAGCAAATTTTCTGATTTCTCTGTGCCTCACTTTCCACATTTATAAAAGGTATCCCCAAGGAACGGTGTGTGGAAAGTGAATGGAAGAAACCAGAAAGGACAGGAAGCTGACAGAGGCATTGAGTGGAGTTGGAGCAGCTGCATGAGAGAAGTGACTTTACGGGGGAGATCTGGAGTTCCATTTTGGAAATGCTAAGTCTGAAATACCCCGGGGCTGTCTTCGTGGGTTTGTTGGAAGCCAGGTTATGGAGAGCGAATGTAGTAGTGTACATGAAGTAGCACATGGCCTGGGGAACAGACGGTGCTGAATAAGCGCCCATGCTCTATTAACAAAAATAAGTAGGATTGCTGTTAGGGAGTCACCACATTTTTTGGTTGAGGTATGCTTTGTGAGCTGTGTTCAGTAGAATTTGGTCCCTTTCACGTGGGGATGTACCTCAGTGGTAGAGCATTTGTCTACCATGGGCGAGGCCCTGGGTTCTATCCCTAGCACTGGGGGGAATTACAGCATTTTATATGGGTGTGTGTGTACTTTTTTTCTTAAATCTTGTTATTAAAGTATTGGGGAGTATTCAGCAACCAGAATGAGATAGCTTAACAGACCTTCCTACCAAAGCCTGGAGTCCCTGCTGTTTGCAGAAACAGTTTTCTGTCGTGATGTTGTATTTCTGTTGTGTGAATGTGTTTTAGAAAAAAATATGTAACTGCACTCTATCACTGTGCTCAGTGGTATAGTATTTTAGTTTTGCTGTTACAAATCTCTCTGCCTTTGGAAGACAGAATTGAGCTTGGTAACATTCTCCTGATGAGTGAATGAAGGCCCTCCCTCTGTGGGACAGAATGCATTGAAGTAAACCTGCCTGGTAAGGCTCTCATGCACTTGAGGCAATTTAACTTAATTTGTTTAAAAGGTATTTTGTCTTCTCTGGATAGAGTGTCTTTTGTTAATGTTTGATACTATATTTGAATCTAGGCTCGCGAACTCTCTTTCAACACCACAGGATACTAAATGATTCCTCTCAGACATTTATGTAGTATGGTCTTCTCTGGAAGAAACTAAAATTCATGCTTTTATTCCTCTTCCAAATTAGAATTCTAAATTGTGAAAGATGGTTTCCTTTTTAAAAGCAAGTGAGTAATTCAGGGTTCCCTAAGTTCAAAAAAAGTTGTCTCCCAGGTATTGAGATTTGGTTGAGCGGAGCTGGGTATAGATGGAAGTTTGCCTTTGAGCTGAATGGGCCTTTCAGAAGAGTCCAGCTGTTGATGAGTCCTGCTCAGACAGAATCTTAGAACCTGTCAGGAGCCTGCGGTGAGATGGAGGCCAGCCTGCTTACTCATTGCTCAGGAAGATAACAGCGTGTTGGCATTCATTGTTCAACACTGAACAAGCACCATGTGCCAGCCCCATCTCTGGGTTCTGAGAAAGACCTTGTTCCTGCCACAGAGAGCTTATATTCATGGGGACACCAGGACATTAACAGAAAAAACACAGTAATTACAGTGATAAGTGCTTCAAGGAAATAAATGAGGTGGTGTGGTTCAGAATAACATTGGAAAGTGACAGTGCTGCCTTTTAGGTTCCCTCAGAGAAGGTGGCATTGAGTTAAGGCCTGAAGAATGACTCGAGGCACAGCCACATAGAGCTGGGAGATGAGCATTTTGGAGAGACAGCTGTGGCCAAGGGCCTGAGGTGCAAAAGAGCTCAGAATACGCCCTGGGGTGCCCAAGGCGACCGAGGGCACTGTAGGAAAAGCAGAAGGAGCAGTGGCATTAGAGATGGCTATAAAGTTGGCAAGGGACTGATTACAGGTAATGGCAAGAAGTTTCGATTTCTGTCCAAGTGCAAGGGAAATCACCCAAAGGTTTCCAAGCAAGGAAGCGACATCGTAGTGCGATTGATGTTTTAGAAAACCACTCTGGCTGCTCTGTGGGAAGTGGATTCCAGAAGGAGAGCGTGACAGCCAGACCAGTTCACAGGTGCTGGTGGTGGTTCAGATGGAAGATGAGGCGGTTTGACGGTGCTGGTGGCAGTGGTGGTAGAGAGGGGTGGGTTCAAGGTGGTTTCTGGAGTGACTTTTCCGTCGTCACAGGCCCGTGTGGAAGATCTGCTAACCGAAGGGTACCTTGAGGGAGTTTAAGGATGAAGGTGGTGGTATTGTCTGAAGTCGAAAACTGAGAACAAAAGTGTCCTTGTGAAGGGACAAATAGGGGTTGGCAATTGAAATGCCCGTAGACTAGTGTAGCAGTCTGAGGAAAGGACTGGGCTGAAGAGAGAAATTTAGGTGACATTTGACTCCATGTACCCCTGCGGAGAAGTGTAGTTAAGAGGAGTTTAGAAAAGAAGGCACCAGAAAATGAAATCGAAATCGAATGTCCAGGGAGGCAGGAGGAAAACCAAGAGGGTCAGGCCACAGGAGCTGAGGTCGGAAGGTATTTCGAGAAGGAAGGATTAGGTGCCTCCGACAAGGGCATTTTCACAGAGGTGGGGACAAAAGTGGGTTGGGAGTAGGTGGGAGGCGGGATAATGGAGATGACACTCGTGACAAAACTTGTTGAAGAGGATTTGCTGAAAAGGAAACAGAAGCGGGCTGGATGGCTGGTGGGGTGAGACGGGGGCTCGGGAGAACCCGGTTTGGGCTTTTGTTTGTTTTCTTAGTGAGAAAAGCTGTTACCCAGCGGAGGGAGCGCTGAGGAAGAGGTCGGTGACTGACTGGGAGAGGGATAAGAGAGAGAGCCATCTCCTTGAGAGGGCACCAGGGGCCTTAAAATTTGGCCTGGTCCTAAGGGAGCTTCCATTTTGGTCTTAAAGAGAAGGTTACTTCAAAATAGACTCTCGGTCCTGGGCTCAGCTTCGTGGCATAGAGTGTGTGTATTCTGAGGTTGGAGGCCCTGCCAGTAGAGGCTCACTTACCGATGAGGTCGGAGGATATTTCGAGAAGGAAGGCTGACTTGTTCTCTCACATGCTGCTGAGGTGTCCAGTAAGGTGGAGTAGAGGGGGTAACACTACAGTGGCAACAGTTCAGAAGGACGAACCGAGGCGGGAGAGGGGACAGGAGCAGGGGTACTGAGTATGTGCCGCTGATGTAGACAGGAGGTAGTGCACAAAGGCTCCCCTGGCTGCAAGGGAGCTTTCCCATGGAACGAGAGGTGGGCAGATGTGGGTTGTGACCACCTGCAGATCAAGTGAGGGCTCCTCAGTACCAAGAGGAGACGAGATGATCCAATGGGAACTGCCATTGTGCTTGAATTAGTGACCTGTGATGAAAAGGCCACAGTGTCACAGGATGAAGTTGTGGTCACATGTGGGCGACTGGACAGGGGGCACTGCTGTGTGAAAGAGTCAGGATGTGATCCCATAACCTCCGCTGAGGTTCCAAGACCTTGGGCAAGGCGGCAGCAGTGGAAATGGAGAGGAAGTGACAAATCCAGGGACTGTTTGGAGGCAGGACCTGGTAGGATCTGATTGGCAGTTTGGATGTAAGGGGCAAAGAAGATGGAAGAGGAAGGGGACTTCAAGGTATGACCCTAGCAGGATTTGAGACTCAGAAGAGCACAACTTGTTCAAAAGGGGATTTAAAATGAGGAAAGGGCTGTGGGATTTTTATAAAAACATTGAGAGGTCAGTGCTAGAGATATGGTTAGAGTAGTTCCTGAGCAGAAAGGAACTTGGAGCCAGAAAATGGGTGAGCTCTTCCTGTTCTGTGAGGGGGGGAGAGAAGGGGCAGCAGCGGGCAGCTGGGGCTGTCACCCTTGGTGCAGGATTAAGCCATTCCAAAGGTCACCTTTTCTTGGCATGGAATTTATTTTCAGTTTTTTATTATTTTACTACACTTTTCATGTGGAACCTTGGGAAGTGAATTTATTCAGGCCATTGAAGCACTCAAATTTGCAGATTACATTTTAAGTTAAAAACCTGTCCAGGAACTGGGCATCATGGCACACACCTGCAATCCCAGCTTTTTAGAAGGTGGAGGCAGGAGGATCGTGAGTTCAAGGCCCACCTGGGCAACACAGAAAATCCCATCTTAAAAATCCACCTAGGAAACGAAAATCCAGCATTTTGTCTTCTTCCTGTTCTGAGTGTTGTAAGTGAAATTGGAGAACAGAGCATTTGAGCTTTACTTTGTAAGGTACCCTACGTAATTATGTCATATCTTCATCTGTTTGTCTTAGACTTTTGTCCCCTTTTCCTCCTCAGAAGCCTTTAGTCTTCTCCACAACCACCTGCTTCTTTAGGGGAGGGCCTTTAAGGGGCAGAGTAGGTCCTCCCAGGGTGGGGTCAGCCCCTTGGTCCCACCACGGACACCCCCCCATGATTTCATCTGCAGCAAATCCTTAAGGCGGTCGGGAAGGCTTTGGAGCCATGTTTGTGGGAAGAAGAGATTATTACAGTACCTGGAGGGAGGAGGAGGGAGAAAGCCCAGGTTTCAGCTCTTGCCCTTGAGCTGTAAATTCTCAAGGACTGTCTTATAAATCTCCTGGAATCGCTGTGAGAAATCCACACTGCGTTGGAGTGCAGTGTAGTGTTTTCAGATAATGATTTTAGAGGCTTTTTTCCCAACCCCAGTTCTGACACTGGGGTTGGAAAAAAAAAAATAAAACTTCAGAATAAAACTGCAGAGTAAATCTCCATTTTAATAGTGTTCTTATTTAGCACAGAAAATGTTAGAGACTCCCAGCTGGTGTATTCAGAACTTCTCTTCTGAGTGTGCGTTAGTACACATCTCTATACACATGCACTTGAACCCCTGAGGGGTCCACCCCTCAGATGCCTCAGTACTGATTCTGCCTGCTGTTAAGTGAACAGAAGAACCAGCCATTTTCTTCAGGACCAGCTGTGTCCTCTGCAACGTGAGGATGCTGTGACTAGGCAGCACGCGGATATAGACGTAGCTTACCTCAACATCCACCAGCCTTCGGAAGACAGCGCTGCCTCACAGAATTTCTCCAGAGTTTTCTTTCCTCTCTCTTTCCAGAGGGCCAGTTGAGAGTGGATGCCAATATATCTGTGCATCACCCTGGGGAACCCCTGGGCATCCGAACTGAAGTGAAGAATCTCAACAGCATCAGGTTCTTGGCCAAAGCCATAGGTGAATATCAGCTGTTGTTCCTGTTGTTTTGCTTTGTGTTGGTCCTCTCTTGCTGCACAAGAAACCTCTTCAAACTTAGTGACTCACTCAGTAACCCCTTTGATTTTCAGTTCTGTGCACTGGTTGGTTCTTCCACTTCTCCTCTGCTTGCTCCCGTAGCTGTGCAAAACCAATAGGTCAGCTGAAACAGGGGATCTGAGATGGCCTCACTCACACGTAGAGGCCTGGTGCTGGGTGTCCACCAGGCTTCTCTATCCATATAGCTTTCCATCCTTCACTTGCCTGGCCCAGGCTTTCTCATTTACCATTGGAACATTCCAGAAAAATGGAGGCAGAAGCCTCAAAGCAATATGAGTCCTAAGCTCTAGAACTCTCACAGTATCACTTCCAATATATTCAGAGCAGTTTGAATTCAAAGCAGACTCAAGTGGAGGGAAATAGACTCACTTCCCAAGGAGAGGATTCACAGGCTCTTGTTACCATGTTTTACCGTGTACCATACTCATTTCATAAAGTCAAGTTCATTTTAGATTGGCCATGGCTTGAACTTTATGAAGTCATATGTGGTCATTTTATATTGGCTGTGGCATGACATAATGGCTCAATATATTTTTCTGCTCTTTACTATTTTCAACTAATAGGATTCTCTGTGCCTGTACAATCAAGATTGGTCTTACTAGAGCACACTGTGGGCATTTCATTGAGGAAAAAATGTCTAATAATTATTGAAATAGCTTTTCAGGATAGACATCTATGCACTCCCGTAGAAACTGATGACTGAGTCTCAGGGGGAAGACATCTTGGAGACAAAAAATATTTTTTTAAAGCCCAACATAACAAGAAGGAGGGAAAGGAATTCAAAGTGCATCCCTCAAATGTGCACAGGGAACAAGACGACAAAACACATTGCCAGAAGGTTGCTGCCCCAAAATGTTTAGTAGAATCCTGAGTTGTGTCAAGCAAAATATCAGATACAATACAGAAAAGGTGATTCCAGTTTTGTATAAAATCTTCCATCCCGAACTCAGATGGTCACCCAGACTCCATAAAGACACTCACGCATCTATAGAAGTTTAGGGAAAAGACATTAAAAATGGCCAAGGGAATAGTTTCTGGGAGGGGGAAGAGAAAGGGAAGGTCCCCATGTGAAGACAGGCTAAAGAGAATGAACTCTTCTGTCTCTAAAAGGGGACATGGCCATGTTTCTGAAGCCGCCATTGGTGCAAGTCAGGGAAACTCATGTCTGTAACCCATGTATTTGAACGGGAAGCTTGGAACCAACAAGAGAGTTCCATTTCACCTTAGGCCAGGAACTGTTCTAGATCCTGTTGTTCCAAGAAGTGTCAATGATAACCTAAAAAAACAAGCCACCATGTTTTAAGTAGATTCATCCCTAATCAGTTACGAAAGAGCCTTCTTCTTTTGTCATATGAAGTGTCCTTTGGAGCGCAGTCAGAAAGAATTTTACCAGCCCAGTGGAAGAACCAAAGCTTTGCTGTCTTGAGCTTCATTCTCCAATCCTGTAATTTTTCCATAATTTTTCTGCCTGCATTGGGCTTTTTAGCCATAATTTCATGTCATTCAAAGAGAGCAGTGGGGGAGAGGTGGAATAAAAATGGGCATCTTCTGGTATTGCTGCTATTATGGAGCAGTTTAATTCAAAGGGTGTGAATTTAAACAAGGAAAGGGATGCGGTGGGGGGAATTAAGGGAAGATTTATTTCCATAAAGGAGCTTGGCAGTTGTTCTGTTTAGGCTGCTGTAACCTGCCTTTCTTGTTTGATGGTCACATGATGACCCCATTGTTCTCACAGTTCTGTGGACTGGGTGCTTCCCTTTGAAAATAGAATGAGTTCCGAACCCTCTCACCAAAAAATGCACAAGCCCCCATTTTATATATAATTTCAGAAGGTCCCAGTGCTCTTTGTAGCCCATCTGTGGATCCCAGGGTCAGAGTCCCTGTTAGGCAGTGATCCTGGGTCTGCAGTCACTCAACACACCTGCTTCTGTCTGCTTGTATAATCTGTGTAGGGTTGCTTGAGCTCTGTGAACCTGAATTGTCTCAAAAAAAAAAAAAAAAACAAGGGTGCAGGGCTCCCCAAGGCCCATTCCAGCCTCAGCATCCCACATGGCAGTGAGAAGCACATGGGAGGATTATGATAAACAGTCTTCTTTTTGATTATCATTCAACTTCAAGTTTGAGAAAGGTTTCTGGGGCTGGAGTTGTGGCTCAGCGGTAGAGCACTGGTCTAGCACCACATAAAAATAAAAATAAATAAAGGTATTGTGTCCAACTACAACTAAAAAATAAACAAAATATTTTTTAAAAGGCTTCAAATTATCAGTGGATAAAAATGTAATCAAAAGATGATACTAAATTCTTTTTATATTTTTTATAGACTATGAAATTCAGAGGCAAATCAATGAACTTGAGACTGGAGGTAAAATTCTGAATGAAACTCGTTCATTTGACAGCAAGCTGGGGTGAGTTCGCATTGATATCATCTTGACCCCAGTGAGGTGGGCCCCGGGATCTGGGCTAGGTCACAGACCAAACATCTGTTCCTGAGGAAGGCCATTAGGTTTCTGCTGTTTGCTTTATTCATCAGTAAAATTAGAACAATGCACCCTACAGGGATTAATATATGCCCTACCGGACCCTTGAGAATTTTAAACAGAATGCTTGGTCTTAGGTCCTAGATCTGTTCTTATTCTAGCTTACCTGCTCTGTGGCCAGAATCTTTGCTTCCTTAAATAGTATACCAGACTTCTTCCAGCTTAAACTAGAGACAGAAGAAAGCTAAAACCTGATTATAAGCATATCTTTTTGTTTATTTAGATAACTTTGACCCTGATTTTCCTATTTAGAATTTTGAGGATTGAAGCAAAATACTGAAAAAAACCTCAAAAGCCTAGAGTTTGAGCCGGCTTAAAGCTGGAAACATTGTCTGGGGATATAGCTCAGTGGTAGAGAACTTGCCCAGCATGTATGAGGCCCTTTGTTCCATCCCCAGCATCTTAAAAAAAATTCTGGAAATGTTGAAGTCATTTCTTCTTATTTTAAATCATATTTCCAGACATTTCTATGTGAATTCACATAGGTGTCTCCTATGGAAAGCTAAAGAACCTGAATTTGCCTGTGTCCCTTATTGGTAGAGGAAACCCTGTGGTAGTCACTTTTCCATTACTGTAACAACTACCTGAGATAATCAATTTATGAAGAGAAAAGGTTTATTTTGGCTCACAGTTATAGAGTGTCGATCCATGATTGGTTGACCCTAGTGATACATCATGGTGGGAGTGTATGGTCAAGCAAATCACCGACCTCATGACTGGGAAGAAAAAATGAAAGAGATCGGAGACTATAGTCCACTTCAGGGACATGCCTCCAGGGATCTAAAGACCTCCCACTAGGCCCACCTATTAAAGTTTCCTCCCAGTAGCACCAAACTGGGGAACCACACCATTTTTTTAACACATAGGCCATTGGGTTCACACAAGACTCCAACCATAGCAAACCCCTCCTGTGCGTGTAGGCTAGCCGGTGTGCATGCAGTGTTTGTTCAACATTGTCTTCCTTAACTGTTGTAGGTGCACTGTGCCAATGAGAGACAAAGAAGGAAAACAAGACTACAGGTGATTATCCTTGTATCAAAATACACATTTGGGCTTAGGAGCATATTTCAAATCCATTTGAAGATGAACACAGTGATCCTGGAGAGTTTTTAGGAATACTTACCACATGATGGAAAATGAAGCAAGACTCCCTATTTTATGTGGATCCTGGGAGAAGAAATTACATTTTCTTGATTTGATAGCCTCAGAGTGCCTGGTCTGATCAAGTGTGGAAGACCTTGTTCACTCCTGTGTCAGAGCTGTACAGTTGAGCTGAGAGGATAGAAGTCGATGTAGGGGCCTCGGCTATTTTTACTCTTATTACATTCAGTAGCAAATTCTGAAGTTGCTTGAGAAAAAAATGAAAAGGGGTGTGTATGTTAATGGCATTTCCCTTCGAATCTCAGGTGATGTTATTTCATTGACAAACAAGTTTGGTTCAGTAGAAAATTTGCAAATAAATCACAAGGATAGGCTTAAAATAAATTGAACTTTTGCTTCTTCCCATTGAGTTTAGCAGATTGCCAAGGTGGAGGCTTGAAGCAGCAGTGTTGTTGAGATGAGCCCACCTCTCCTTTGTGAGTTGCAGGATATATAAGTGCAGATGTTGCTGTCAGTGAGGATCAGATGTAGCCTTTGCCCCAAGGACTCCCATCTGTGTCTGTCAAAGTCAAGGTTGTTTAATTATTGTGATCTTCTAGGTGCAGCCTGTTTTTCCCAGGAACCCTCTTTGTTCCTCAGTGTTGCTCCCTGCTGTATTTATGCTGTTTTCTTGCTGAGCATGGAGTTTGCCTTTTAATTGGGACAGTGGCTTCTGCTCAGTCCCTCAAGTTAGCTGACAGTGAAGCCTCCTTTTGGTTTCCTCTTGCCTTCAGAAATCACACTGATTCATGGCAGAGCTTTAACATTGAATTTTGATGAGTTGCTTGCACTTCTAATCTATTACCTTCAAGCCACCATTTATTCTGTATTCTCCTGCTTTTATATAAACCCTTTGACAATTATGAGCAGAGAGAGAACATCAGTGCTGGAACAGAGCAGGGAGGGACATCTTTGTTTCATATGCATATATACAGTGGTAGGCTTCCACGTTTTTAAAAAATTAACTTTATATTTTTAGAGCAATTACAGGTTTACGGCAGAATTGAGTAGAAAGTGTAGCGTTCTCCCACTTACTCACAATGCCCTGCCCGACACAGTCTCTTCTTACTAACATCTAGCATTTGTATGGTCTCTTTGTTATAGCAAGGAACCAATATTGATACCTTATTATTAACTAAAGTCCATAGTTTACATTAAGGTTTCCTCTCAGTGTGGTGGACTCTGTGGGTTTTGACATATGTGTAATACATGTATTCGCCGTTACAGAGTCATATGGAATATTTCACTGCCCTAGAAGTACCTTGTGCTCCCCCTGTTCATCCCACCCTTACCTCTTGCTTCCACATTTTATTTAGGCAAAACTCCTTCATTTCTTCTCCCACTCAAGAAGGAACAGTCCCCTCCCCCACCTTTGACTTTTCATTATTACACAAATACTGCTAAAAACAGTGGGAATTTAAAAATAGGGGAAAGTCATCTTTCTCCCTAATAAATTGTTCTCAGTTGCTTCCGTTGTTTCCAGCCTATGTCTTAATGAATGTGTACATGATCCACAGTCATAAATCAGAATGTGGCTGAGCATTCTGCTTATTTTACTCACCATTGCTTCCTGAGCATGGAGAACCGCAGGCTTGGTGATTTGGGCACTTGGTGAGCACTGTGCAAAGATTTTCCGGGGAAACTGGGAATTGATGTTATAGGACATTAGAAATCGTTTGCGAGTAACATAACGTCTGGCACAGAAATATTCCTATCAGTGGTAGATCTGTGGTTCTAATCAATCCCGATACTCCACATTCCAGTTCCGTCTCCTCTCTCCTCCCAGGTTTATGCCAGAGCCCAACCTGCCTCCCCTGGTACTCTACGACAGCACGACTCTGCCTGCAGGTGTAGACTCTCAGCAAGTGATCAACATTGACCAGATTCGGGACATGCTCCCCGAGCTCCCCAGTGTGACCCGAGAGCAGCTCGTCCAGCAGTATGGGCTGCTGCCGGAGCACAGCGTCACGTTACTGGTAGGTGTTGATCAGAGGCGGAATCGAGCTGGCTGGGCAGGCAGGGGGTGGCGTTCTGAGAGGCCCCTGCACGTGCACTTGGTCGCAAGTGGGCAGGCGTCTTCGCTCCTACGGTAGACGCCCCTGAGAAGAGTGAGGCACAGCGTCCTTGCTCACTGTCCTCTATGGGACTACTCCTCTGCACCAGAAGAGAAAACATCCCACTTAAGTCATTTCTCCCATGTAGAACTGAGCAGCTGCTCCCAGCAGCCGTGGAGACTTTTTGAAGCCAGTCCAAATGTTATGGATGAGTGTTTTCCCATGTGTCTGCAGGACAAAGGAAAATCAATGTATAGGGTTTCTAGATGTCTAACAGTATCGAACCATGACAGGGTCTGGCAGGACGTTAGGCTCTCAAAAGTCAGTCGGTTGTTTTACCAATTGTAGAAGAAAACATTTATTCCCCACAAAATGCTGGGAACTGTGACTAAAAGTATCAGTCCTTTGAGGCTTGAGGATGCATCTAACGGGGCCAGTAGAGAATCTGACACCATTGAGATCTGCTTAGGGATTTTCCATCCTTTTCAAAGCTACTTGGGGCTTTGTGGTTTTCTTTGTTATGGCAACGTTAAAGTGATACAGCATCAGTGAGCAGAGCACTTTGTCACCGTTGTCTTGTCTGTTAGGGAGAAGTGGAAAGTTTTGCGACTATGGCTCTCAGGGAGTAAGGTATATGCCCCAGTCATTTTTTGGAGCAGCAAAATCTGTGGAAACTGGACTTTTGCTTTTATAAATGACCAAAAATAACTATAGGAGGTGGTACGGTATGGCTGTGCATATTTATATCTTTTAATAACAGCACCTAGAGGTTTATAGTAGGGTAGGCAATCAAATGTCTACTGAGCGATTGTTTCTCTTTACCGTCTGTAAGTTAGCTCCCTTGAGAGACATCCAGGGTGCCTCACGAGAAAGCTCTTTTATTACCAGTAAAGATCAGGCACCATCAGTTTCTTGCCAGTACCTTAGGCGGACTTGATCCCTGCCTCCTCCAGGCTGCCCTGCGTCTTAGTCATCCATCTGTGGCGGTTCCGTCGCTGCACTTCAGTTGTTCATTAGCGAATCTCCTTGAGCATCTCAAGGCAAGCACTGTGCCCGCCTTCCTGTCACTGAGCACAGAGGAGCACGTCAGCAGACCTAATGCCAGGTCTTTGGCTGAAGCCGTCCGTCAGCTTCCCATAGAGTTCCTCTTACCTGAGCCTCCTACGGCTCCTGTTCTTCCTGAAGTTAGGTGGCGGTCCCCGGTTTTAGTCTTACACTCCTCCCCTCATCTTCACACTTGAGTTTCCAGCCCACTTGGAGTAAATGCTGAATTCCAGATCTGCATCTTATTGCTCTTTGCCAACCGTGTGGGGGCTGGGAAGGACATCGTTACCTCTCAGAGAGAGGCTTTGACCAGCTGGAGAGGCAGCCCTCGGAGAGTGGTGATGTGCTGAGGTGGCTTGGCCATTTCCCTGCTGAGACTTGAGTTCAGAGAAGAAGCCACCAGACACTGCAGAGGAACCCTTTTGTAGATCAGCCTTCTCCACAAGAGGAGGGAAAGGCCCTTTTGGAACCTCCTCAGGAGCACAGCTCTTTCTTTCTAAGGCCCTGGGTGAAAGCGTGCGTCCTCTTGAGGATATCTCTAGGATCCTCACACTTGGCCCCGATGGGTGTGTTCTGGGGACAGCAGCTGCCTCATCTCCCTGAGCTTCAGTTCCGTGAGGGCAGGGGCGTCTCATACTCCCGTTTGTGCCCCCCGTCTTCGTTCATGCGTCCTTCACGGGACCAAAACCTGGTGTCAGCCTTCAGTAAGGTCTTTCCTTAGTGCTGCAAACGAGTAAGTCTGCATTTTAATAGTTTAAGGGCCTGTCAAGAGAAACCTACCTGTAATTATTATGTTCAACACTTTATCAGCTTTGCCTAGGAGCAGGTACTGAGATAGGGACAAAGACTGTTTTTAAGATCCTTTTGGCCTCCTTTGAGTTTATGTATGCATACATAATACAACAGCCAGCCAGCCCACAGGGCAGCTTGTGACAGAGCTAGATGGGGCCCCGCGGAGGTGGCCACGACTCAGCTGAGACCTGGAGCACCTCAGAAAGAGCTGGTTTGTTTTAGCTGTTTTTGAAAAGAATTATAATGTTTTGGTACCTCAAACATATGCTTATTTTGTAGCTTGCGGATAATATATTAGGTGATTAGTCTTTTTTTAAAAAAAAAAGTGAAAGGCCTAGTACCTGAAATTTCCACGATGAATGAGAACAGGAGCAGATAGGAACAGACAGAGAATGATTCAGACAAATTGTTTTCCCCAAATTAAGCAGCCTGAGCCCTTTATGACTTTGTAATCATTGGAAGCTGGGTTACTCATAACATTCCCGAAAATGATCTGTTCATGTTTTTCCCTGCCTCCATCAGAAACACAACAGATTGCTGAGAAGGGCAGATGCACAAATCTAATGAACCATCTTTCAATTTAAAGAGTGCCCAGGAGTATTCATTAAATAAATAGCAGTGGTGGAGGTGTGCTTTGCAGGGCCTCGGCTCCGTGCTCCCTGCCTTTGGATTGCTTATTTAATTAAGCAGTGTGCGTATATCCCCCCATCCCCACACGACGTGCCTTCCCCACAAAAAAATCTTCAGAATTTAACTCATCTTTAATTTATATTGTCATGTCCATGTGCAGCGAGCACTGAATTGCATATCGTTATCTTTGATTTTTGCACAAGTCTAATGGTACACCTTAGTATTTGCCATGATGTCAGAGGCATGGTGGGTGCTCAGCAACTGGGACGGACAGGAAATGAGCCGGGTATCGCTGCAGGACATAGGAACATCCTGGGGGAAGTAGTCTTGATGAAGGGATCACTGTTTCCAAAGACCATGCACCTGAACCACCCTGGGACAACCCAGCAAACCATGGGACATGTGAGGAGTTCAGCCATCCCACTACCTGTGACCATACACAGATCACTTGGTCTGACTTTTGTGTTCTGAATTAGTTTCATTGGGACATTAAATCAAATCTACAGTCTGGTTTTCTCTCCTACAACCTCATGTGGCTCCCTCCCAGAAGAACTATTACTGGTTTTTCTTCTGCTCGCATAAATAAATACCTTGCCCACCTAAGACTTCAGTCTATTTAACTAATGTCACTTCCCCATCTTATATCAAACTGTCTTGCTCTCTTACCTCATTTGTAAAGATTAAGGAATAGAAATATGGAAGCAGACAGTTCACAATAGCTAAGCTGTGAAACCAGCCTAGGTAGCATTCAACAGATGAATGGCTAAAGAAAATGTGGTACATATACACAGTGGAATATTACTCAGCCATAAAGAAGAATGAAATTATGGCATTTTCCAGTAAGTGGATGGATCTGGAGACTATCGTGTTAAGCGAAATAAGCCAGTCCCAAAAAACCAAAGGCTAAATGTTCTCTCTGATGTGCAGATGCTCACACACAAATAAGGAGGGAGGTGTGGGAGAATAGAAGTTCATTGGATTAGACAAAGGGGAATGAAGGGAAGGGAGAAGAGATGGAAACAGGAAAGACAGTAGAATGAATCAGACATCACTTTCCTCTGTTCATATATGAATCCTGTACAACCACAAGAATGGGAAATTATATTCCATGTATGTAGGATACGTCAAAATACACTCCACTACATGTATATCTAAAAAGAACCAATAAAAAATAATAAAAAAAAAAGAAAGAAATGTGGAAGCTGAGATTCAGGTATTTGGATTCTGAAGAATGAGATTCTTCTCACATAACCAGTCCTCCTCTGAGTATATCCAAGAGTAGTTATCAGAATGGTCAGGGTTGTAATCACGTGCATTTTTCTTGGCAAAATCATTCCTGGCTGATGTCCATGAAGCAGCTCTTGTAAACTTCTGTCTTCTTTCCCTCAGGGAATGCAAAGGAACCATAACATTTGTCTGAGTCACACATTTGAAAGTCTGCTTGCAGGAGCATGCTCTAGGGTCCCCAGTGTGCCCCTTTCCAGTGTGTCCTTAGGCAGGCATAGGGGAGGAAATGCAGCCTCTCTGGGCAGGTAACTTTCCCCGCCCACAGTCACACCAGGCTGACCAGAGGGATCAGGCTCTTTGTTCCTGAGCCCTCCTGTCTGTTTGCACACTGATGTGCTCCGGGGCCAAGTGGAAATAAAGTTTCGGGGTAATGGCTGTTTTGGATCACTTTTGTTTCATTAGTAGAGAAAATAAGTAATAAAAAAACGAGGCCAGAGAGCAAGGCAGTTTGATAAAAGTCGGGAAGTGACATTAGTTAATTCTCTTACTGTTAATGCTCTGTACCGTGTTCGTTTCCCAAGGCACAGAGACTGTGGGTTCCTTGAAGATTCTGACCACTCCTGTTGGTTTTTAAATGTCAAACTGCCCTATAAATAAACATCAAGTGCTGTCTCCTAAATTTAGTGAAAATCGGTCAACTCCCATGAAAAGCAGAAATGATGTCAGTTTTCCAAGTGGAAAAATTAAGTCAGAGGAGAAGCAGTGTAAGCTGTCCTCGGCAGCTTTATTTATTTTGTTTCTTAAACAAAATGGCTCCTTCTGTCTGTTTCATCAAGAAGTGCGTCCACCTGGGACAGAAGGTGTGGGGCTTGCAGGATGGTCTTGCCTGATGCCTCATGTCATTCAGCCTGGCACATATAGGCACCTGGTAAGGTCCAGGTGTGTGCTGTCAGGGAACTGGCTGCGTGTGAAGTCAGTAGCTAGAAAGATGTGGCCTCATCTTGCTCAGCAGGTTTCATGGAGGAAGTATAGACGGAGCAGCCCAGGTGGGTTTCTTAAGGCCTACCCTTCGCCTGTCCCTCTTATCACATAAGCCTTCAGCGTGGCTGTGTCGTTTCGGTGCTTTCTGAGTAGCCCCCCAGGGAGAGGGTTAAAATACTGACAAAGGGACAGATATTCTTGATTGCAGCTCTAACCTCTGACTCTTAGGAGTTGGGAGGCTCTGCAAA